ATCAAACACCGTGTTTAATTACCTATTTTTATGGTAGGAAATAAAGAAATTTCTATATGTTACATTCTAGAGAATATTCTATACGATTTCAAACAGTATATAATACCAATCCGTTACAGAAAATTGTCAGTTTGCAATTTGAAGTGCTACAGCAACAAATCTTTAAATTGAAGAATATCAATAGAATACTATTAGTATTGTGATACTTTTGATTATGTTTTGATAAATATGACTCGCTCTACAAATAGATCGGCGATAATAAATGAATTTGAAGAAAACACATCAGAAAACATGTTTATCAACAATGCAGATGATTCCAAGGATATTTCTGAAGATTGGTGAAGCTGATACTAGTCCAACATTACTGTCCTCATCAGTTTCTCAGTGTCAATAGATGATAAATTTCTGTTCTCCTCTCACACAAACGTTTCAATCGTCAAGAAAGTGTTCTGGTGTATTACCATCATCTCCTGTTCAAACATTTAAGAGACCTTTAGTAATTTTATATTCAATTCCATACATAAACAAATAAATATTGATGGAAGACAGAAATGTCAGAAAGAAGAGGATATGATTGATTTGAGCGATACCAAAAAAAGTCCCGTTAAGAGGGTCCTCCTCAGAAATCAACTTTGTTATTTTTCGTCCGATTTCAACCAAATATTTCAGAGGATATGAGTCTAGGGTAGAATAGTCTATGGATGAAATATCTCCCCCAAACCGCAGTATACTAATGAGTTACAGTCAATTTAGTGGTAAAAAGTGCTCTGTACGCGGGCAGAGTTTTCACCGTGAGGACTGGGAGCTAACAGGCCGGGGTGGTGTCTAGGCTGTAGAGTACCCCTAGAACTAGGTCGTGATTGAGCTCGATTTTTGAATTTACGTTCCTTTGTTTTTTAAAAATCCTTTTTTCAAAAATTTTTGAATTCATAACCAAAAGACTCACTGATCAAAATGAAAGATCTGCGGTTTTTATTTCAGCAAAAGAGAAATTCAAAAATCCGCCTCTGTCACGACGTAGCTCTCCCTGTCTACTATAGAATAAAAAAAATTATCACTTCCATATTGAGTCGTTATGAAGAAAAGCCTACCCGCGTAAACGATATGCTGGAAAAAATCGATTTGGAGAAAAACGCTAAGTAAGTTTTAGAAATCGATTTTTGCGAAATACACGCAAATTATGCATCAATGTTTCGCACAGGCTATAAGTATGTGGTCTTTATCTTAAGTATTAGTAGGCTCTTAGTGATTAATATAAAAAACTTTATTCAACGCTGATGCCAATGGAAATAGTCTTTCAAAAACTGAAAAACTTTAAAAAAAGCCGGGAAATTTTTTCGAAAAAAATGATAGTAGGGCCCAAGTTTCAGCCGATAACTCCAGCAAAATCTATTCGTTTTGCGAAAAGCCATATATATTCTGAAAGAGAAGATCACGGTGCATCTTCCTATGATAAAAATTCGACTTCCACTTTTCTTAGGAAAATTGGGTTTTCTGAGAGGGAAGGAGGGGGCTTGACAATTTCTTAGTATCAACATCATTATGGAGTATTGTAGAAATCCATCAATTGATTCTTACTGGTCCATGGACGCATTATTCCGAGATGAAAAATTTCAGAGTCGATGTAGTGTAAGAGTTTTAAAAAAGTCTTAGAAAACTTACATCTTGTCGACAATTTCGAAGCAGCAAAATGAGAAGTAGAGTTCAACAGAGTCTACAAAGCAATAAATTTTGTGGCACTGTTGCTGCAGAGTTTTCAAATACACTTCGATGTGAGAGAAAAATTGACAATTAATGAAATAATGATAATGTTCAAGGAGATATCCTTGTTCAAACAATATATATCACAAAAAACCAATTAAGTGAAGCTACAAAGTTTGAACATTTGCTGATACATCCACCATTTATGTGTCCTATTTTGTGCTCCATTCCCAAAATTAAATAGAAAGAAATATACCTTCAGATGAGCATGTTGTTTGGAGATTGACTAGAGAACTGTCAATAAAATTCAGGTACTCTCAGAATGCTCATAAAAAGGATTTCACCTGAAATTGTCCATTATAAGAAAATGATCTGCAGTCACATAAAATTTTTGTCTGAAAATTTCATATCTGATGTCAGGTGGATGAATTGAAAATCGATATTTATTATGTCTAATTTTTATGACTCAACAAACGTGATGACAATTATTTGCAGATTGAAAAATGGCCAAGTAATTCAGCTACGTTGTCCAATAATGAATAAAGTTCATTGTGCAGATCAAAGATTCAGTATTACAGTGTTGATAAGAAGTCGAGAGAGAGTCAGCCAGGTCCCGCGCGAGCGGGGGTGTAGATGAGTGTACAGCCCCTCCTCTCAAATAAACGAAAAGTTTCAATTTTTTCTAGCGAAAGGTGCGGAATTTTTCCTTCATTTCACATTATCTCAACGGAACTTTTTCGAACATACCCTCTTACACCCCTCCCCCAATTTTTGACCCTTCGCGCAGGGCCTGAAGTCAGCACTGTATATTTTTTTTATTTTCTCAATGTGGCATTATCAAATGCGTTTGTCATTAAAGTATTTCAGTAAATAAAAAATAGATTTGTTATCAATTTCAATATCAAGAAGTGCAAGAAAGGTGAGAGAAAAATATCTGCTACTAATGAAATTCGATTTTGCAATGTTAGAATTCATTTTCCATTATCTACGTCTCGACAAAGATATGTCTATTGAAGCATTAAAAATAATCAGTAATGATCTTCAATAGAATGTTCAACTTTCAAAATGGCTTTATGCGTTTCAATTGAAAGAAACTGTTTTTGCTTATTCCACTGTATGTAAAATGCCATATGCATAAGTAGAGCAATAGTTTTCTATTGATAATTATCCTTTTCTTGCTAATTTTGTTTTGTTTTTTCCTCTTTTGATTTATAAACAGCTTTTCTCCGATATTGTTCAAATTTTTTTTACTTCTCAGTGTAAAGATGTGCGCTTATTTTCTTCATAAACTGCATAGTTTTTTTACTGTATGGTCATTGAATACGTTCAATTCTATGTTTCGAATAAAATCGAACGTATCAAATCGAAAAATTTAATCCGTTTTTCTCGGTTGATCAAAACGTTCTGATAAAATTAAACTCTCATGTAAATAGATACAAATGGGTGTATCCCATATACAGTATTCCAATATTGTCAATCTGCTCTTCGTGCATGATAACCTAGATCACGGTTAGGGGTGTCAGCGTTCCCCGTTCCTCGGCGTTCCGTTCCTAGGAACGGGAACGCTTGTCAAAATCGCATTTCCACGCTATATTTCAACATGGCGAGGTCTCTAGACACATCCACTTTTCTTTTTATGTTTGAGTGTTCAGCGTTCCGCGTTCTCAGGAACGGGGAACGCTACCCCGTTCCGCGTTCCTAGGAACGGGGAACGCTACCCCGTTCCCCGTTCCTGGGAACGGGGAACGCTGAACACTCAAACGTAAAAAGAAAAGTGGATATGTCTAGAGACCTCGCCTTGTTGAAATATAGCGTGGAAATGCGATTTTGACAAGCGTTCCCGTTCCTAGGAACGGAACGCTGGGGAACGGGGCACGTTAACATCCCTAATTTTTATGAAATTGGCTTTCCTTCGGTGAATTAGTAAAATTTCTGTTAAAAGTGAAAGAAACGTATATTGCGTTCCCATTCCTAGGAACGGAACGCTGAGGAACGCGGAAGCGTTCCCCGTTCCCAGGAACGGGAACGGGGTAGCGTTCCCCGTTCCCAGGAACGGGAACGGGGTAGCGTTCCCCGTTCCCAGGAACGGGAACGGGGTAGCGTTCCCCGTTCCTAGGAACGGAACGCAAAGTTGACACCCCTAATCACGGTCTATTTGACTGTATCATCAGCATGGACAGAATTTGATCATCCAAAATTCAC